TGACTATAGATCTCTGCATTGACAGTTCGCTGTGGATTGAGGAGTTCGAAATGAATTACTCCTTTGATGTCCCACCAAATGCAAAGCATCAGTTTCTGCGGATGGAGTACATGTTTTGGGGTCGAATGTAGTTTTTGTCTAGGACTGAGCCATTGTTTTTGGCGTTTAATAGTCGCATAGAGAATCCATTTTTCATCACCGTTGACAATTCTGTCCAAAAATGGTTCACGCGCCAGAAGAGACGAAGCAACGCTCACACATTAAAAACGATGATCATCGGAGAGTTCGTTAGACACCCAAACACCTTCTTTATGGAGTTTTCCCATATCCCTTAGATATTTACGTATTGTTTCACGATAGACATGCAATTTCAGGGCCATTTCACGAATGTGTTGACTTGGGTTAGACTCAACAAGCGTTTTTGGAGCATGAATATCAATTCCAACATGCCGGCTCCTGCCATAACAGTTTTTAAGGCTAAAGATACCTGAACGAAATTTGCTGAACCATCGTTGACACTTACGAACGTTCCAAACATTTCCATAAACATCTTTGATATTCTTTGTGGCTACAGAGGCGTTGTTTCCCTTCTTGTATTCAAACAGAATTACATGCCGAATGCGTGCCATCATTGTAAGGATTAGAGTATACTAAACTTTACACATTATATAGGCCACACTAACGTGACTTTTTTGGGGGGTGGTTAATGAAAGTGTTCCAAAATGCGACGAATTTTAAAATTTGTGTATAAAAAGGTGAAAATTAGAAACATATCATATAATACTTTCTTAAGTTAATTCTAAACATTTTGTAACACAAAAGCTGAAAGAGCAAAGTAATGAAAGAAAGAACGTCTAATTATTGCAGGCACGTGCACGGTACGAATCATATCTTTGATAAACTTGTAATCTTTATACGTCAGAGGAAAAGTTAAAAGTAAAAACCTTTATATGTAAATAACCTTGTTATTGTAATATATTTTCCATCCCAACCTGCATACATTTAAATATCCTGTAACGAGATAAAACAAATATACGAACATCTTTTCTTAAATATTTACCAATAAAGATTGCTTGTTTGTTGAAACTTAGTTTGTTATTGTAATATATTTTCCATCCCAACCTGCATACATTTAAATATCCTGTAACGAGATAAAACAAATATACGAACTTCTTTTCTTGAATATTTACCAATAAAGATTTCTTGTTTGTTGGAAGTTAGTTGAATGGACGGCAACTGCCTGTTGTAGAAACACAAGTGTAAAGGACGACGTTTTGAAAGTCTTCCGCCTTCTACAACAGGTAGTTGCCGTCCATTCAACTAAGTTTCATCATCAGTACCCTGCCTAAACAATCTATCAAAGAATGCTTTTTTGTTCGTAGCTAAACACAAATCTACACAATGGGCTATCTGTGCTGTGCCCACCACGGGTATCGAAACTCGGTTTTTAGCGTTATACGCCCACAGACTACCAATAAAGAGTCATATTTGCCTGATTGTTGCGACAAATGTCATAAAACAAGTTACGTATTATTCCATAGGCTCTTATTATCATAAAACAAGTTACGTATTATTGTATAGGCTCTTATTATCATAAAACAAGTTACGTATTATTCCATAGGCTCTTATTATCATAAAACAAGTTACGTATTATTCCATAGGCTCTTATTATCATAAAACAAGCTACGTATTATTCTATAGGAAATAATACGTAACTTGTTTTATGATAATTAGAGCCTATAGAATAATCCGTAACTTGTTTTATGATAATAAGACCATAGGCTCTTATTATCATAAAACAAGTTACGTATTATTCTATAGGCTCTTATTATCATAAAACAAGTTTACATATTATCTTTTTTTGATCTGCGTTTCTCATTTAGCCATATGATATTACATTTTCTCAACGTTTTTTTAAAGTAGCATAGATAAGTCTTAGTGAAGTATCAAGCTTACTTTCTTATTCTTCAATTTTACATTAGGTATATGTGTGAAAGGTATTAGGTATATGTGTGAAAAGTATTTTTGTTTAATTTGTTTAAACATACCGTAAGTATCATGCGGATTGCCAGATCTATGAACTGATGGATCACCCTAATATGAAAACAACTGATCTTGACTAAGCCTAATCTAGTTGGCACTGGAAGGGCCGAAAGTAAAGAAAATACACCTGACATGCACTTTTTTTTATAATGTTAAAACCTGTGGCTGATACCTATTAATGAAACACAATTACGTTTATAAGGAGAAAAACGAAAACTTATATATATATATATATATATGTGTGTGTGTGTGTGAATTGACCAATTAAAATTATGTATATTTTATTTTTATAAATAAAGAAAACGATATGCGTGCAGTGATATGTAAACTCACCATTTACTTTTCACACCCAGCTACATTCAAGTAACTCACCATTTACTTTTCACACCCAACTACATTCAAGTAACTCACCATTTACTTTTCACACCCAACTACATTCAAGTAACTCACCATTTACTTTTCACACCCAATTACATTTAAATAAATCACTGTTTACTTTTCACACCCAACTACATTCAAGTAATTCACCATTTACTTTTCACACTCAGCTACATTCAAGTAACTCACCATTTACTTTTCCCACTCAGCTACATTCAAGTAACTCACCATTTACTTTTCACACTCAGCTACATTCAAGTAATTCACCATTTACTTTTCACACTCAGCTACATTCAAGTAATTCACCATTCACTTTTCACACTCAGCTACATTCAAGTAATTCACCATTTACTTTTCCCACTCAGCTACATTCAAGTAACTCACCATTCACTTTTCACCCTCAGCTACATTCAAGTAACTCACCATTTACTTTTCACACTCAGCTACATCCAAGTAATTCACCATTTACTTTTCACACTCAGCTACATTCAAGTAACTCACCATTCACTTTTCCCACTCAGCTATATTCAAGTAACTCACCATTCACTTTTCACACTCAGCTACATTCAAGTAACTCACCATTTACTTTTCACACCCAATTACTTTTAAATGGCCCATCATTTACTCCAAACTACATTCAAGTACCTCACCATTCACTTTTCACACTCATCTACATTCAAGTAACTCACCATTCACTTTTCACACCCAATTACATTCAAATAAATCACCGTTTACTTTTAACACCCAGTTACATTAAAGAACTCACCATTTACTTTTCACACCCAACTACATTCAAGTACCTCACTATTCACTTTTCACACTCAGCTACATTCAAGTAACTCACCATTTACTTTTCACACCCAATTACTTTTAAATGGCCCATCATTCACACCCAACTACATTCAAGTAACACGACGATCTTTAAGTGGGTTGATTTGTGTGTTTGTTTTACGCACGAAGTTACAGAATAGGCTATCTGTCCTCTTCCAACCACGGGTATCGAAACCTGAATTTTAGTATATAAACTCTCTTACTGCTGAGCCACCGAAGGTTTGTTTGTTGGAAGTTAAGGACAAAGCTACACAATGGGTTATTTGTTCTCTGCCCACCACGGTTATCGAAACCCGGTTTCTGGCGTTGTAAGTCCGCAGACATACCGCTGTGCCACTGGGGGGCACCACCTAAGGAGGGGGAGTCTTGAAATAAGAGTCGGGTAGCAAAACTCAAAAAATCCATTTTTATTTATTTTTTTATCTAGTTTCC